TTTTTAGTACAAAATGTCAACAGAATCAGGTCTTGGACCATCGCCATGTTTTGATCAATGACGAATCATTGGCGCCCAGCACTGCCACCTAGAGGAAATACGGGTTATTGAACACCTCAACAGACGGAGGTATGAAGGAGTCAACGGATAGAACGTACGGACAGAAATATGGACGTGCAGGCCAAACGTGAGGTATGAATGGGCCTTTAGACTGCTGCCTCCGTGACCAGGCCCTGGATAAAGCGGAAGAAAATGGATGGTGGGATGGCTGGCTTGCTGGCTGCATTAACGTTGAGTTCCAAGGTTTATATAGTAGCCCAACAAAGTCTTGATATGGCTTAGTAAACATGCAAAATGAACCGAAAGACAGGTCCACCGTTTAGTAATAGGGAGTGAATGAGATCGTTGTTGGCCTGCAATAACCAATACTGGCCCCTGTCTCTTAAAAGGAGTAGTAAGGGTCATGGTTGACCTTGCTGATCAGGCGAGATGTTTTGGTCACCTGCCAAGAGATGGGGGTTGAGATGATAGCGGGAAGGAATTTAAATCGATTACTGTGTTTTAGGTTTTTGAGAGCTGGAACCTGAGTCCACCCCCTCTGTTTAAGTTTGGTTTTTATCTCCTAATATAAATGGCTTCCTTCACACCCCTTTCAAACCACCTGTCTCTTTGTCCAAAATGTGAACATTTACGAACATTAACTGAACTTAAGAACGTTTGTGGAATCTAATGTGGTACGTTTTTTAAGAGCCCATAATAGGAGAAAAAGGAAGAGACATTTATGACAAAAATATGAAAATTTTGCTTTATGAGTGTTTTATTGTGATTATCATGCACAATCGGGGCATAAACATAATACATAAAATAATAATTTATAACAAAATATTGAAGAGTTGTCTTAGTCTGCAGAGTTTTGTCATAAAGGTGAGACAACCAGTAGGAAAGTTCAAAACATTTATTAAAATAAAAGGATTAACAGACAGAACAGAAGCACGGAGCTGATGTGGATTTGCGAACCTGCAACAACTACAGGAGGGGGGCGGGGCACCGCTCAATCACTGACACTCTGGTTTAGCAGTTCAGTCCATCAGATTCAGATCAGACTGGTGTAGTACTGGAATACAAGAGTCTGCAGTCAGGTATTCTGATCCACACAGGAACTATCCGGGTTCCAGGAATCCAGCAGAGTGTGAAGGCAAGTTAGAGAATGAGCAACCAGCTCTGACAAAAATGCACAGACACAGACAGGCAGAATCCAGCAGCAGTCCAACAGAGGTTCAGGCAACTGATCAGACAGGGCCAGTGGATGAGAGGGAAGGGAATCAGGAAATCAGAACCACTAGGGAAAGGCTGAAATGCTCTCTCAAACTGGTTAGGTAACAAAACTTGAAGACATGAATCCTGTAAATAACTAAAACTAATAAAACCGACAGACAGGAGAAACAGAAATCTAACAAAAATCAAACAATGATCAGGCATTGATAGCTGGGCTGGACCAAATATAAAGCAGAACCTACAGGTGGATGAGATCAGAGATGATTAGGAACTGGGCAGAACCAGGCAGGTGAGTTAAATGAGCAGTTAAGTTCCAGTTATCAGGGCAGATCAAGAGAGTTTGTTTTGTTTGTTTTTGTGTTAGTTTGTACCTGACTTTTAGAAGTGCTAATAGAAAAAAGCAAAAACTACAGCTGCAGTTGAGTTTCTCAATTTCTCAAAAATCTCATTGTATCTAGTAAATGTTTACAGTTCCATATCCTCTACCTACAATTTGTGCAGATGGTCAAAGTGTAATTTTATGTTTTTCAGTAGTTTCAGGAACTTCTGTGTTTTATTTTTCATTATATTCGCTGTGTAGAATGAGCTGATATTGTCAGCATTTGAATGTTAGCTCAATGCTAAAGCTGAGGCTGTACACCTGACATGTTAAGTGTGTGACATTTTTTTTAATTATACGAGAGCATTTGTGTATTATCCTTTTTTGTATGTTTACAGTTTCACAAATTGACATGGTCTTCAGTAAAGACAGAGAAGACAGAGAATAGGAATTGTGTCTCTTCATTGCTGGAACCATATGTGTTCAGCTGGCTGTCTAAGTTATGTTGAAATACACTAACTGAGGGCAGAAGAGAATATGATCTGCATATTGATGACTGTACACACACATCAAAAGGTTTACACATGCTGTCTGCTACATCTTTTGGTCTACTAGCAACTTTTTATACATGTTTCAACCTCCTAACAATCAGGCCCATCTTGTGGTCTGTGGTGTAGGATGTTTTTTATAACTGCTATTCTAGGCAGTCACAGCGCTCTGGTAAAGAGAGAGATAAACCAACCAACATAGAGGAAGAGGGCGGTCTTTATTCTATGTCTATAGCAGAACTGAAAAGCCGGTAGATGAGTGAGAGGAACCATGAAGGAAACACCTCAGAGCCTGCTGCTTTGTAAGTACAGAACATCTGAGTTAGAAAGATTATTACTGGCTGCTCTGATGATGATTGATGGAGGAACAGAAGGAGGAGAAACAAGTTAGACTGAGTTAATGAAAGAGGTTAAGCTTATGCTGTGCTGAAAAAAAGATCAATTTAATAACTGAAATAAACACATGAAACGAGCTTAGAGAAAATTTTTAAGGAAAACACTAGAACTATCATGGAGGGTTTATAGATTATAACTGTGAAAATATATATAAACTACTCCAAATGTGTTTTCTGTAGGTCTCTGTTTCCTGTTGTGCTGCAGAATAAACCAAGGTTATACGTATTTTCAGTTTTTGATTGAAGATTAAAAAAACAATTTATATTTGGTATATATTGTCAGAAGATATTTGGTTTATATTCTCATTTCATTCCAGTCCTCCCAGCTGCTCTGACTGTGAGTCCCAGCAGATCTCAGTTCTTTAAAGGAGACTCTGTGTCTCTGAGCTGTGAGGAGAACAACAGCTCTGCTGGATGGACTGTATGGAGGAACACAACCAGAGGAACCAGGACTCAGTGTGAAGATGGATGGTGGAGAAAAGAAGGTTCTACCTGCAAAACCAGCAGCATTAGAGAACATGACAGTGGAGTTTACTGGTGTTGGTCGTCCAGAGAGGGAGCAGCCAGCAGCAGCATCCAGCTCACTGTCACTGGTAAGATCAGACTGTGGAGTTAGTGTTGATGAAGCTGTGTGGAAATGGATGAAATGCTGTAGTTTGTCTCTGTGTTGAGGTGGATCAGTGATCCTGCAGAGTCCTGTCCTCCCTGTGATGGAGGGAGATGACGTCACTCTGAGCTGTCTAACAAAGACCACTCCCTCCAACCTCCCAGCTGCTTTCTATAAAGATGGCTCCCTCATCAGGACTGAGCCCAAAGGTCACATGACCCTCCACCATGTGACCAGCTCTGATGAAGGCCTCTACAGGTGTAACATCAGTGGTCATGGAGAGTCTCCATCCAGCAGGATCTCTGTTGAAGGTCAGGATCAATGATCTTCATCTCTTTGTTTCCTGACTTCCATCATTAAAATCTTATAATTTATTGACGAAATTATAAATTTAGAAATTTCTTCATTTCAGAGAAAACCACCACTCCTGCTCCTCCAAAGACACCTCTTCACGTCATCTTGTTGCCTTGTATATTTCTATTTGTTGTTGTGTTTCTACTGGTTTCGCTGGTTCTACTGGTGAAAAAACATTGCCAGAAGTCAAAAGGTGAGAAAAAAATAATCTTGAGTTTCTAATTCTACTTTTACCACAACGAAGCAAATGCTTAATTGGTGTATCTTTTTTTCCCAAGATATTTTATTCAAATAGAAAAAAAGTTCAAAGATTTTTATCATCAGTTGAGTTAATTTCCCCAGCAGTGAACAATGTGAAGCACTGGATTATGGGTAATCTCTGTTTATTTCAGATCAGAGAGGAGATGACATCACATACAGTGACATCCAAATAACTCAGCTACAGCAGCAGAAAGTTAAACCCAGCAGAGGTAAGGATGATGAAGGATATTGTTGTCAAGGTCCAACCTGAAAATATCACGCTCAGTGGATTTTTTTTGTCTAAAGTATGTTTTCTTGGCAATGTTCTCTAATATTCATTTCAATATTCATCGAATGTTTATATTTTTCCTCTGTACTGATCAATACTGAACAATCGGTGCCTCTTTGTACACCAGAGTTCCCCTGCTTACTTGGTGTCTCTAAACAGGAGACACTTAAGACAAATCAACATGTCGGAGCGTCTGTGTCTGCAGGCTGTGGTTGTTCTGTTTAACAGACTAGCAGCTCTGTGGTCGTCCACTTTCCTGTTTCTCATCAAAAAGCTTCCGCTGAAAGACGACCAGTTGCTTTCATTCACAGACTTCACTGAAAAAATTGCTAAAAGTGTACTAAATGTTTGTATCTAAGCCCTAAATATACAGTTATTATTAAAATTACTGACATTCAGACATAGCCGTACGACTGCATATTCTCCTTTTGTTATCAGAATAGTAGTTTCTGTTAGTTCAGCTAGTTTCTGCTAGAGCATACAACAGCTCTTTATAACCATAACACAGTCGCATCAGTTCCTGAAATATCTCATAGATATTCTCTTTACCAGCGCTGTCACACATAGGCACAGAAGTGAAAAAAATCATTTAAAAACAAGTTTATGTGTAAAATAAACTTTAACTGATATGTATTTCAAATGCCAGATGTACCAGCTTGTGTCCAGGCTGAGTTACAGAGAGTAAAATTTGTATAGTCCACTATCGCTCATAAAAAAGGGGGACTCTGCAAACTACAGTGTGCTATTTTTTTCTCATTAAGATGTTTGCTGCCTTTTTTTTCGCATTGTAAATGAATAGAATACATAAAAGTTTTCTAGCTTAATTATTCATTAAAATAAGCAGTAGGATAATAAGCAGATTTCCAAACTTGGGGCTGCCAGGAATACTAGGCGGTCTTTGAAAATTAGAGGAAAAATATGAAAAGAAGAAATGCAAAAAAATTAAAGATAGAATCCAATTATTCAATGATATGTGTATAGGACTCATAGATATTAAGACCAGCCCTCCCTTTACTCTCAGTACAGAGAAGTTTGATTTCTGTTGTTTGCAGTCCTTTCAACAGTTTGTTAAAATGTTTGCAATGTGGTGGGAATATAACAGGGATAAAAACAGGTTAGTATTATAATGCTAAAAAAAACAACAATATTATAACTAAATCATGCACAAAATGGAGAAAAACATTAGATAATCAGAATTCTCTTTAGATATTTTGTAGCAGGTTGTGTGTAGGTTTATCAAGGTATCGCCGGCCAATAGCCCCCTGCTGTACGGGACAATGACTTGTAATTTATTGGCAACATTGAAAGTGCTAACAGCTTCTACTACAACCCACGAAGCAACAGGATTCATCGCGCTTTTATTTTGAAAACCGACACGCAAAATGAAGCAGTCACGTGACCAATGCAATGCGAGGCCTCGTTTGTTGCCAGTCACGTGGTTTTCAACAAGACAACACAGGCCTCGAAGCGGGGCTTCATTGACACGCCCCCTTATTACTCGGTACAAGCCTCGAAGCCTGGCTTCAGATAGCCCATCACTACTTTTTGCTATTAAATCTGCAAGAAACCACTTCAGCTTCAGTCTTTGCATTTGGGTCATCTTCAAACCTCCACCCAACCTGACACAATGACCAAACAAAATGTGTGCATCCATGGTGTTCAACCCTCTTTAGCCCCTCTTGTTTATTCTCTTCTGTCCTTTGATCCTGCCAAAAACCAGGTGACAATTTGTTGATATCAAAGCTTGTGTCCCAACAGTGTTTTTAAGAAAAGAAATAATAGGTTATTGATAGGTGTACCCTCTCAGAGATTGGATATACAGGATAAAATAAAGATCCTATACAACTAGATCAGGTCACTCTAAACCTAGAAGTCTAATGGTTTAATCAGTTAGAGTTGCATGTAAAACCTCAGCAGCACTTTCCGTCTGTGGGTGCTGGTGGGTTGTTGTCTGCCACTTGTGACTGTTTTCACTGCAGGCTGGTCTGCAGATATATCTAGCAGCCTTTATAGTGTGGTTACATCGATGTAGCTGTGAGGCTCTGTGGTTTTAGCACTTCATGCTTTTTCCTACCGCTTGTCTCTCTCATTAGCTTGCATTTGAGAAAGAAAAATCTTTAAAGTGTTACCAGAGTAATATTAAATACTTTACAGAATAGAGTAATAATATAACTGCAGTACTTAAACTAATAATATGATTTGTATATTTTTTTATACAGAGCATTTAGCAACTTCAATCTACACAGATGTGAGAACAGAGGAACTCAGCTATGGACAAATCAACATCAGAAAACAAAGAACTAGAGGTAAAAATGCTCCTATCTTACATCATAAAGGCTTGAATTTAAAGGATAATTAACAGGATGTCTGGATTTTGTGTTTGTAATCTACTACTTTCTAACCATCACATATTAGAATGCAGTAGACATTTTAAAGACAGCAGGCACAAATCGTGGCAGTGGCCACTGGAGGAGGTGCCAGAAAGCCTGCCATCGATATTCATGACCTTCTTTCATGTACTGTATTTTTAGGACTATAAGCCGTCATTGTTTTTCCATGCTTTGAACCATCTTATGTAGGTGTAGCTTTTCTGTGGAGTTATCCTCACCACCAGTGGGTTTGAAGACAAAAGTAAAATCAGAGCAGAGGGGGTCTTTTACTTAGCACAAGCACATGTTAGAAGCAGGCATGACAGAGAACGAATGTCTCGATTTCAGACATTTTTTAATTTATTTGCTGCATTAAACTGTGGAAACAAGAGAGGATGTGTGCAACTACAACTGAGCTGAAATAAAGGGCTGACAAAGCCCTTTTTCATTATGAGCTCTTACTGTCGCAAGCCAACAAGCTAATGGGAACTAGCATTCTTGTTTGTTCCAACTCTAGTGGTGATATGTAGAGCTCCTCGAACTGGTTTGGTGGTGGAACGTTCAGTAGATATCAGCAGCTTATAAACTGGTGTGTCTTATATATGGATGTTTCCAGTTTAGATAAAATAAATGGGTGTGACTTATAGCAAGGTGCGCTCTAGATGTTGGAAAATTCTGTTTTGCTTTTTTGCATATACGTTCGTCCCTTGTTTTATTACTGAATTATCATTATTCCATTTGTCAAATAAAACATATGTCTAAGTAATAAGTATAGAAATCTATCCAAATATAAATGCAATGGAACAATAGGCTATAGCAAAGTTATGAATATAGATCTTGCACTCAAGTATACCACTAACAATGTGTATGCCAAGAAACTCAAATGTGATGCCTGTGTGTGTACACATAGTGTGCTTTGTTTATAGCTTTATGTGTCATTTATTTTTCTCTCAGATATGCTAGATTTTCAGTTGAATTTTGAACCATTTAGATAGGTGCAGTTGCCATGCTTTGGGAGTACCCTATATGTTACATAGGCTACTGTCATGATGTTGGCGCTGATGAGTGGCTTGAATACTCATATCTGTCTCCTGCATAGCTGTGCCTAGTTTCTTATTATCTGATCCACCAGCTCCAGCTTCTATTTTACCAGCCCCCTAACCAGTCATCAGGGCCAGATTATAAGCCTTTGTTAAGAATTTTCTAGGGTATCTGATTGTGTTCTGATTGCCTGATTCTGACCCATTCGGCCTTTGAGCATGCCTGTTCCTGTTCTGATCTGTTGGCCTGACCTGTCTTCGGACTCCTGCTGGATTCTGCCTGTTAACCAGTGTTGGGCACGTTACTTTGAAAAGTAATTAGTTATAGTTACTAGTTACTTCTCCCAAAATGTAACTGAGTTAGTAACTGAGTTACTCTACAATAAAAGTAACTAGTTACTAGTAAAAGTAACTATTGTGTTACTTTTGTTTGTGAGTGTATTAAATTAATAACTGTGTTTTGGTTGTTATAGATACTGCAACATGTAGCTCTATCTATCCCATCCATCCATCCAGATTTCTCCCTTTCTCCATATAGGCTATCATTTGATCGTTCACGCTCTCCGTAGTTCCCCTGTGGCACGAGCACAGGGCGGCTGTTACGCGCCTTTAGCGTTTCCTGTCGCTTGCGCGTTGAATCGTGCCGCCGCGCTGTGCGGAGATACAGGGGAAACCGTATGTGATGGAGAAGCGCAGCTCAACGTAACACCGGTATTTCCATCTGGAAAACGCTGTTTTGCTGCTGGAGTCCTCCTCACTCTCCATCCTCCCCTCTCTCATGACGCGCGCACGAGTCCTATCATGAAAAAAGGTTAATTGTGCGACCTGAGTAACGCACAGTAACTGGGTGTCGGCAATTGTAACTGCATTATAGTTACAGTAAGAATAATCATTTTGATTACTCGTTATTAAAAAAAGGTAGCGGCGTTAGTAACGCCGTTACTTTCAACACCGTTACTCCCATCACTGCTGTTAACCTAACCTGGAATGGTTTCATGTCACTGACCTGGATGTCCCTTCAGAAACTCTTTGGACCACTGATCTTCTGGTTGTGAATTCTGAGCACATGGATCATTTTCCTTCCTTCATCTGCTTTGTTCTCTATAGTTTTCAAGGCTTAAGCGTCTGGGACTCTCTATGTGGTAACTGCTGCGTCTTGTCAGCTGACTGATTGGAACTAATCTTGTTCTCTGGGCACGGAGTGAACTATAAAATCAGAAGTTCCTGCCTTAGGTGCACCAGGGACCATAGTCAAATGTTTGCCGGGGGCCAGAACAGGCGACATCAAATCCTACCAGAAACTGCTGGCTAAGGATAAGGTTAAATACAGTAAGATTGTTATTCACGCTGGCGGTAATGACACCCGGTTACGCCCATCGGAGGTCACTAAAATTAGTGTTGCTTCAGTGTGTAAGTTTGCCAAAACAGTGTCGGACTCCATCATTTTCTCTGGTCCCCTCCCTGATCTGATCAGTGCTGACATGTTTAGCTGCATCTCGTCATTCAACCGCTGG